AACGTCGATTTTTACCTAATTTCGTATTTTTTTGACGCATTTTAACAAAATCTCACTAAAAAAGTTAGTTTTCAACTCAAGAATTTACTTAAAAAGTAAAAAAAAACATTTTGGGACAAATTTGGTGATTTTTTTATTAAAAAAATGCATTATTGATTTGTTGGTAGGAACTTTTTTGTTTGACACCTTTGTTTTTAATTTCTATTTCTAAAAATAGCAAAAAAGTAAAATTTTTTTTTGTATTGTCTCAATTCTCCAAAAGTATTACTTTAAAAAAAATTATAAATGATGCAAAACAACGTCAATTTCTACATAATTTCGCATTTTAACAAAATCTTCTAGTAACTCAAAAATTTACTTAAAAAGTCAAAAAAAAAACATTTTTGGCTTAACTTGGTGAATTTTTAATAAAAAAAAATGCATTGTTAATTTGTTTGTATGATTTTTTTATTCGCCAGCCAAAAAAAGTTGAAAAACTCTTTTTTGTATTTTCCCAATTTTCCAAAAATCGTATTTTTCTCTCTGAATTTTCAAGATGCGGTTGCGACGAATGCGTTTGCTCGAACCAAAGCGACTCCTTGCGCCACTCCCAAGCCCGGATCAATTCTTACAAAGCTCTAACATCACCATCGGTCATTTCCCTCTCCTCCACCGACCCTCTTTTGACAGCTTTCGAACTCTCGGGCGACTTGAGACGACTTAGTCGCCTCGAAACCGAATTTCGCGCCGAATACAACGTAAGTAGTTCCCCCAAAAAGCCAAAAATCACCACCACTTGCAGACCATGCGAACCGTGGTGGAAAACTTCGTCGCCCTCCTCCTCGACCACGTGAAAACCTCCGAGGAGTTGATGATCTTGCTCAACTACGACGAGAAAAACCCCAATTGGGTGTTTGGCGAACAACAGACTTTAGCACGCTTAAAACTCGCAATCAAACACAAACAAAAAAAATTCGTCTCGCATCCCAACGTCCAGCAAATCCTAGGCACAATCTGGTATGAGGGACTCCCCGGTTTTCGCAGAAAAAACCTCCTGGGACAAACCATCCAACTGGTGAGATTGAGCGCCATGTTTGCGATTTATTGCATGGTTTACATGCTACTACCAACCTCCAAAATGGGACTTTTCATCAAAAAACCCTTCGTCAAATTTATCTGTCATTCAAGCAGTTATATGTTATTTTTGAGTAAGTGCAATTATAGTTTTTTTACCCCTAATTTGGTCTAGTTTTGTTGACGCTTTTTAACAAAATCTTAGTAAGAAAGTGAGCTTTCAACTCAAAAATTTACTTAAAAAGTCAAAAAAAAAACATTTTGGGACAAGCTTGGTGATTTTTTATATTAAAAAATGCATTGTTAATTTGTTTGTAGAATGACATCTTTGTTTTTAATTCCTATTTCTTAAAAATAACAAAAACAGTAAAAAAACTCTTTTTTGTATTTTCTCAATTTTCCAAAAATCGTAGTTTAAAAAAAAATAAAATGATGCAAAACAACGCCAATTTCTACCTAATTTCGTAATTTTTGACGCATTATAACAAAATCTTACAAAAAAGTGAGTTTTCAACTCAAAAATTTACTTAAAAAGTCAAAAAAAAGACATTTTTGGCCAAGCTTGGTGATTTTTTTATTAAAAAAATGCATTGTTAATTTGTTTGTAGGTTTTTTTTATTTGACAGCTTTGTTTTTAATTTCTGTTTCTCAGAAATACCGAAAGAAGTAAAAAAAATTATCTGTCATTCAAGCAGTTATTTTTGTATTATTTTTAGTTATTTTGTATGCTAGTTTTGAGTAAGTCCAATTTTGGTTTTTTCACCCCTAATTTGGCCTAGTTTTGTTGGGTGTAACATCGCAACGTTTCGAAATCACCGTTTTGGAGTGGATTGATACAGGGTGGTCAAGAAATTTCGTCGATGAATGGAAGAGGAAGGAACGTGGGGCGATTTTGGGCTTCGCCGAATGTGGGGTCGTTCTCTACGTCTCAAGTATGCGACGCCACTGTCTTGTTTCTATGGAAATGTTTTATTGTTGCTATGATACATACTTGTTGATCCAGAGGCGTCACAAGCTTGTTTAGGGGGCAAATTTGCAAAATTATTGACTTACCTTTGAATTATAAACTTGAATAAATGAAAAGTTGTCACTTGTGACGAATAATGAAACAAGAGTGAACCACACCTTGGTTATGTTGAGTTGACAGAAGAGCCCACCTTGATGGCTCAATTTAATTAAAAGTCGGGAAATCAATATTGTTAATGGTAATTTATGTATCTTTGGAAAGTGATAGAAAATCGATATTTTTATTAATTTAAATTGAATAAAATAAATGATAAAAAATGCAAGTTTTTGATTAAAATGGCTTGTTACGTCAACGAGAAACTTATTTAATTTGAAAAATTTTTGCCAAAAAATTGGAAAATTGCACTGTTTTTGTCCATTTTTCTAAATTAAAGCGTTTTTTACACAATAAACTTATTGAACCAAAAAATTTGGCCAGAAAAGTATTTTTTTTGTAATATTTTACCATAACTACGTGGAAAATTGCAAAGTTGTTGTTATTTTTGTCGATTTTTATAAATTTGTTTTTCTCTAAGAAATTTGTAAAATTGAAAAAAAACTGGACCAAAGAAGGCAAATTTAGTCTAAAATGCGTTATTTTCTTCGAGTTTTT